CTGTATATAAGTATATTGTCGATAAAATTTGTTCAAAAATTTTACCTCGAATCAGTAATAAAATAACCAAACTCACTGTTGATCCATGTTCTCTAAAACGTATTCTGAATACGTTTGATTATCCTCAACTATATTCAGTATCATTGGTCTATTATCAAACAGATACAATTTCACGACAATTATTAAGTATGATCAAGAATTGAATTTAACTTTATAAATTACGATATTTTTTTATAATTTATATTTAAGATGGTCCAATATCTCATCTTCTTATGAATAAAATTACACATTTAACTATAAATCTTTATCTTCAGAAAAAAATTCCTACTGAAGATGAACCAATGATATTTGAAGCGATATTATTTTTCGGTAAATATTTAACTGAGTTGATATTTTTTCAACAGTTTTCAGGAAATTATCTAACATTTTTGTCTTGGAATAATCGAGATGAAACTTGTTTATCTTCAACTCTTACTAATTTAACGATAAAAGTCAATAGATGATTGTCTTTATCTTCTTAATGGACATTTTCAATCATTATCAAAGTTAATTATTCGTATCAAGGAAATTAATCGTTCATTATCGAATACAAATAATACAGTAAGTGTAAATGTAATTATTTAATTTGAACGAAATTCACCTTTTAAATATTTTAATGATTTTGTTTCCTCTAGAAAAAACTTGTGAAATTAAAATCTTTTTCATTAATATCAGAATGGTATACACGTTATTATGATAAATTGATTGTTCCATTACTTGGTCGTATGTTAAATCTTGAAGAATTATCTTTACAAATTTCAATACTAAGAATACAATCAACTTATATTGATGGTAATCAATTATATGATGATATTCTTAAGTATATGACACAATTAAAAAAATTTACTTTTAATATACATACTCATGTACTTAATAATAATCCGATTCGATAAACTGTCAAGTAGTTGTCGAATTCGTGTTTCGCTCGTGTTCAATCGTTGCAACGAATATTCGTTTTTTATCAATTACCGTTTTCTCGATAATCAATATTCTCGAATTATATAAAGTCAGAAAACTTTCGTTGAAACGTGAAGTGAAAGGATCGAGATCGAACACGTAAAATTTTTTCCTTTTCTAATTTTTCGAAACATATCATTTTTTTTATAGAAAAAAAACACTGAATCGTATTGAGCAAATAAAACTGCATCGAATCATGTCGTTTTTAAATCTTTCGGAGCGACTTCTTAACTCAATTTTACCTAAAAAATCAAGTTTTTTCACTTTTTCTCAAAACTTTCTGTTTTTAAATGATAGAAACCCAACCTACAAACGAAATATGCGCATTGAAGGACCGTTGGCCGCGTTGCAATCTCTCACAAACAAGAAACATTTTGAAGAAACAAAGGAGAGAAAACAGGAAAACGACAGGTGGCGATGTTCCCTCGTTAGATGTGGTCAAGATCTTTCGTTCCCGAAGTTCAATTTAACACTATTTACTTTCGTTTTCCTTTTTTCTCTCCTCTGTTTCTTCAAAATGTTTCTTGTTTCTTTTGCCTATTTCGTTCGTTGGGAAAAATCTTTGAACTAGTGAGAATAATGAAAAAAATCTAAAAAGACCAAAAAGAATGTTTTTTGAAAGGACAACACATGGCGAAGAGGGAACAACACTTTTGAATCTCTTGATGAAAAATTCTTGCTGTTTTTCAACATACTTGTCTTGCTAAGAGATTGCAGAGCCGCCAACGGTCCTTCAATGCGCATATTTCGTTTGTAGGTTGTAGGTCATTAGAGAAACACTAGTAGTTGAGATAGCATGCTCTCAATATTAGTGGCCAAGTGCCTGCACTGTAAGTAAATTTGAATTAATGCAATCAGATCACCCAGAAGAGATAGATATGGGTTTAGCACGTGTTAAAAGGTTCGAGGAAGACGCAGAACACGGATTTCAGTTGTGAAAGTCGAACAAATGTCTACCTCGAGACCCAGGAAGTCTATTCAGTCGAATTCTAACTAGTGAGAATACGCAAGCGAAAAAAAAGTGTGTCATAGCGTTACCGACAATGTCATAGCGTTACTTTGGTAAATTGTGTTTTATAAACAAAGTAAACGGTTCTGAAAAAAACTTTTTTAGCAAAAGAAAGCTCGTTAGCTCCTCTATAAACTTTCCTCTAGATACTTTTTACTAGCTCTTCTAAATTCGCAGGAATTTGCACTTTAACGAGGAGTA